GGTTGTCCTTGAGCATCACCATACTGGACATGTCGTAGCGATGCGTCCCTGCGCCGCCCACCACCAGGCCGTACTTCTTCACAATGCGAAAGCCCGGAGTGGTCTTTCGAGTGCCGACCACCTGACCATTCCAGCCGTTCCAGGTCAGGGCAGAGCAAATGCGATGGCTCTCTGTGGCGACACCTGAGCAGCGGGCGAGGACATTTAGGATGATGCGCTCAGCAAGGAGAATTCGCTTTGCAGAGCCGACGATGGTGCCCACTGTGATGCGGTTGGTGGGTGAGGCGTTCAGCAGATAGGCGCCTTCTTGGTAGTTCCAGGAAGGCTTCTTGATGCCCAGCTCTTCACAGACAGCCTCCACAAAGGGAACTCCCGCAAGGATACCTTGGTCTTTGCAGAAGATGTGTGCCTTGATAAAGGAACTGCCTACCATGAATCCTTGAACGTCAAAGCTAAAAAGAGATAAAAAGAGAAAATTAGTTACAGTTGTAAACAAAAACACCACTAACAAACCTTGGAACGTCTTCATCAATCCACGTTCTAGCCAACTCCTTCAGTTTGACTGGATTCAGCAAATTGGAGAACTGCATCAACATGGGCTGTTTTGATAGGTTAACGTATCCCTTGTTGCTAAGAGCACACAACAAGTTAGAGTTATCGATAAACAAGGCAGATAAAACGGCACTTACCCTTGATAGGTTCTGACGCAGCTCGCCTTATCCGACTTCTTGATGATCTCGTCCATGCTCTTGCTGACGTAGAACTGGTTCTTGAGCTCCTTGAAGAAGGTCAGATCATTCTCCGCCTTGTCGGGGTGAATCTTGGTGATGTGCTCACGCAATCGGGGCGCCTTCATGGACTCATTGGAGAAGACGCTCTCGCAGAGAAGACAGAGCGGCAGCTCGGTGTTAGTGGGCGAGGGAATGAAGCCGAACTTGAGGTAGAGGTCCTCGGTGTACTTGCGCTTCTTCCTCTTTGGCGTGCCGCTCTCGCTGCCCAGGGCGCGGGCGGAGGTGGCGACGGTCTGCTGGACGGCCTCGCCGGCGCCCACATTGGTCGTCTGGACGGTGTAGGCGACGACGGTGGTGGTGTTGCCGTCCTCGTCGGCGATGGTGATCGGGTGGGTGCCCTCCACCTGCAGCGTCTCCTGCACTGTCACCGTCTCCGGTTCCATCAGCAGCTGAGTGGCTGAGTTGTGTGTGTGTTGTGGTGGTGGTGGGTGTTGTCACACTACTTCAGGGTCTTTCACAATCGGCTATCCACCAGCTTCGGGTCTTTCAGCGCCGTGTGTGTTCGGTGTTCTGTGCACCTCGTGCAGTCAGCGGCTGGGCTTGGGCTCTCTTCAAGTGTTTGGGGTGCTCAGCGGACCTGAAATGTCAGCGGTCGTGGTCAGAGCGAGGCTGCAATGCCCTCCATTTTGAACAGCGTACTCGCCGAGCGGATGAAATGCGTCCGCCGTTTCGGCTGCTGATGCAGGCGGGGAAGGCTGCCTTCCGCAGTGCTTCGACGACTGAATGGGCACCCCCTGTTGGCGGCCGCCTCGTCCTGCCTTTGGCAGTCTGTGAGGCGCAGACGCAGTGGGGAGCTCGCCTGGACGACAACGACCACGGCGCGGTCGGCAGAACACCGTGGGAGAGTGGGCGCAAAAGTTCGGCCAAATGTCTGTTCCTTGATTCGCTTGCTCTCTTTTCCCGGCACAGACAGTGACAGATAGAAGAGGTGATGAAGATGTCTGGATCTTCCTGCAGTTTTTCGGTAGTTTCGCTGGGAGATGCCTGCAGACAAAATGCTGATGCAATGTTTTGCGAGAGATGAGCGAGTTGTGGTGTCGCTGCAGTCGGTCGGTGTTTGTTGACATTTTCAAACAAAGCTGCAAAAACGGCGGCAACTGGTGCGTGAAGTGAAAAAGCATCCCAGCGATAGTGGTTGCCTTCTGAACAGAAGTTTAATGAAAATAATTTATGCCTCTTGGGCAATTAGAAGATTGGCAGGAGAAGATGATGGTCACCTCATGCTCACGCACGANAATCCCAGCGACAGTGGTTGCCTTCTGAACAGAAGTTTAATGAAAATAATTTATGCCTCTTGGGCAATTAGAAGATTGGCAGGAGAAGATGATGGCCACCTCATGCTCACGCACGGTCTCCTAAGGAGAGGGCGGCTGCGGCGATGGGGCATTGGACTTGGGAGTCTTCGCCACTCCGGACGGCTCCCTCAGTACCATCTTGATCGTTGAGGGCGATGAAGCCGGCGACTTTTGCAGAAACTTCTCCTTCATCGACGGAGGAGGAAGTCGCAGCGAGGCGGACTTGGGCAGACCACCGCCGCCGCTGCTGATGGGCCCTGAGGGCATCGAAGAGTAGCCCGAGTAGGCACCGCTTCCCGAAGCACTGGAGCTTCCACGAGAAGATCGGCGGCGGCGACGACGGCTGCCCAGGCCACCTCGGCGCTTTCCACCTCGACGCTTTCCACCTCGGCGAGATTTGCCTCGGCGGCTGCGATACGACTTGGAGCCACTTAGGCGGCCACGTCCACGACGGCTGCGACGACGGCTTCGGCGACTCTTGCCACGACGTCCCGAACGACGGCGAGACTTGCCGCGGCGACTACTTCGTCGACTACGCCCACTTGCGGATCGACGACGGCTTCGGCGACTCTTGCCACGACGACTTTTGGATCGACTTTTGGCCGACTTTGCAGACTTGCGGCGAGAGCGAATGGCGGACATGATTTTGCTTCCATGGCCTGGGGAGGCACTCGGCGAGGCGCTGCGAACCTGGGACGCAACTCGACTCTTGCTGGGACTACCAGACATCGTCTTCGATGGAGCAGCCGCTAAAAATTGGATTCTCTCAACAAAAGCTCTAACTGAAACTTCGAATGAAACCAGTTTTGCCTGATATAGAAACAATGACGGCCCAAAAGTCGAAAGTTCGAAAACTCTCCATCTCATTGTTAACTTGCAACAACCAACCCTCAAAATCCATTAAAGCGAGCTCCATCGTCATTATTCAACTTCATTTTGGAAGTGTTGTTGCCTGTGTCACCACGCCAGTTCAACTACCCATCTCTCGCCACTGCTGACGGTCCACTACAGCTGAATCACCCGTGTTCCCCCCTTGCCACGAGAACACCGCCGCCGGATCAATGTCCCGTCGTGGTGTTGGCATGATGCGCTGCGCCAGTTGTGGCTCCATGAGCGCAGGAATGGCCGGTGGACGACACCGAGCAAAGAGCGGCAGCAAGCGCCGAAGTCGAAGTCGACGTGGCAAATCGGCCAGCGCCAAGGGAAGCGCCCTCATGTTTGGCAGTGCAGGACGTGGACGTCGTCGTGGGCGAGGCCGAAAGCGACGCAGCGGGTCACGCCGTCGCCGATCCGCCAGTGGCAGTGGCAGTCGCCGTCGTCGCCGATCGGGCAGTCGCCGCCGATCGGGGAGCACTCGCCGCCGACGTCGCCGAAGTACCTCTGCCGGCTCCAAGGGATCACGCCGTGGACGCCGAGGGCGTCGTGGACGCGGCGGTCGTCGCCGCTCTGGCAGTCGTCGCCGAAGTGGCTCTCGCCGCCGCCGTCGCTCTCGCAGCACCCCCTCCAGCTCGATGACCAGCGTCAGTGGCTCTGGTCGCGGCCGCCGTCGTCGTCGCCGTCGTGGCCGAGGTGGCAGCAAGGCATCAGGCAGCCGCCGTCGCCGCCGATCTGGCTCTCGTCGCCGAAGTGGAAGCCGTCGTCGCCGGAAGTCTGCCTCGGTGAGCGGCNGCCGCAGTCGCAAATCAGCCTCCGGTGGAACTCCTCGCCGCCGCAGTCGCCGCCGAAGTGGCAGCCGTCGCCGTCGTGGCAAGTCGGGCAGCCCTGCTACCGGATCTCGTCGCCGACGTCGCCGAAGCCGAAGTGGCAGTCGTCGCAAGTCTGCCGGTCCTGCCTCGGGCTCACGTCGTCGCCGACGCCGCCGCCGCAGCGCCAGCGGAGCCTCCCGTAGTGGCAGTCGCCGCCGCCGTCGTCGAAGCGGCAGCCGCCGTGGTCGTGGAATGGCCGGTGGGCGAGGCCGTGGACGCCGTCGCCGAGGACGCAGTCGCAGCAAGGGCAGCGGTGCCCTCTGCGCCGGCTGTGGTGGACCACTTCGAGGTGGTGGTGGGCGTCGCCGCCGTCGTCGCAGCGGAAGCCGTCGTCGCCGCAGTGCCAGTGGCGGCAGTGGCCGTCGTCGTCGAGGACGTCGAGGACGCGGTGGTCGTGGCCGTGGAGGCAGTCGCAGCCGCGGCAAGTCCTCTCGCCGCCGCAGCGTGGGCAGTCGTCGCGGCCGAGGCCGAGGTGGACGTATGTTCCGCGGTGGTCGTGGCGGCATGTTCCAGCCGACCATTCTGCCCGGCTCGCCCGGCATGGGAATGCCCCCGCCTGGCTTCGGCGGTGGCAAGCACATCATGGCCAAGGTGAAGGTTCCTGGTGGTGGTCCCAAGTCCGCTTCGATGCGAGTCGGCAAGGGAGTGAAGGTGAAGGCGGGCGGCCTCCCATCGCCGGGCTCCCAGCCGAGCGCTATCTCCCCTCAGCCGAGCATCAGCCCTGGCTCTGGCGGCAGTCCCGCCTCCCCTGGAGCTCCCTCCCCCATGGAAGGCACCAAAGTGACGGCCGCTCCACATCCACCTCCGGCGGCGCCCAAGGCCAATGGACTGCCTCCGCCACCGGCGCACAAAGTGCCGCCCAGTGGACCGCCCGCTCCGCCGGCCTCTCATTAGTGGGCGTGCACCCATCACCACCCCAGCAGCAGCAGCCAAACTCTCTTCAACATTTCTGTGGGCGGGAAGAGGAAGTCTTTGCATTTTCTTCCATTTTCTCCTCCTCGCCCACCGCTGCTGCTGCTTTATTTTTTGCCAATTTAAACGCCTGATGGACTTTTTCCAGGCTCAATTTTATTTTCATTATTAAATTTTTAACTTTTTAGAGTTCGTTTTCGGTTTTTACACGTTTCAGTTAGTAGTTGTTTTGTTTTTGAAACGTGTGATCAACTNGCAATTTTATTTTCATTATTAAATTTTTTACTTTTTAGAGTTCGTTTTCTGTTTTCTTTGTTACACGTTTCAGTTAGTAGTTGTTTTGTTTTTGAAACGTGTGATCAACTTTTACTACCCTAAAAGTATGCCGTCCGCAGTGGGCGCCACGCTTCAGTTTGGCACGCCTGATCCGCTGAACGACTTTGATGATCACCTTCTCCCTAGGCCCCTCTTTCAGCTGTCCATGACGCTGACCATGGTCACCCTGGTACTGCAGATCTACCGCATCATCTGTCTGCTGATCATCTACCGAGCGGCAGTGCAGGAAAAGTCGTACTGGCGAAGACTGGGCGAGGAGCACTTCACATTTGACGCAGCACCACAGAGAAAGTACGGCGGAGGCGTGCTGAAGCCGCCAAAGCTGCACTCAAAGAAGGCGAGAATGAACCTGCGAATGATGAACTGGCTGGAGCGACTGGTCGATCCACTGGTGTCGACCTTCAGGGGCAAAACCAGCGTCAGCCTTGCGCACTCCACTGGCTCAAGTCTGAAGACGGATATGATGGTCGGTGGCAGTAGTGGTGGTGGTGATGCTTTTGGTCCAAACAATTTGAATCAGCCGTCGATTGTAGCCACCAAGTCGGAGAGTGACGCCCAGGTGATCAACTACCTGCTGAGGATGAAAAGGGATCACGAGTGCGAACTGTGCTCCATTTCGGAGGACGTTGACTGGAGTCGATTCAGCCACAACATGGCCAGTCAGGGCTTTCACTTGCTGGGCACTGCTCTGGGTAAGTTTTCAATTCCGAAACAGAAGACTTTAGCGTTGTTTATCATCACTTCTTCATTGCAGGCCTTTTCGCGCAGATGCGCACCTACAATCAGATCGTCTTCTACCTGTGCGGCTCGATGCACATCTGCATGTCCTACGGACTGACCTTCCACGACAGTCTGGGCAAGTTGCACCTCTACGGAGTGCTCACTCGTCCAGACGTCTGCGGCTACGCGAAGATGAAGCTGGTCAATGAGAGTGCCGTCCTCATCGCTAATCTCCTCCTCTTCATTGCCTTTGTGACGCTCTTTGGCTTCTACATCGCCTTCGACGACTACATTAGCACGCTTTTTCATGATCATCTGTTGTTTATCTTTTGAATCTCTTCATCATTTTACTGATTCTTGAATGAATGCTGCCAGAATTCCAAAAAGTGTCCGGTCATTTGCAGATTTGAAGATTTTTCTCAATTTTGAATCCGCGCTATTTTAACATTAGAGTCACAACAGCCAAAAGTACAACGCAGTGTAGAAAAAATGTTTTTGTCTTTGTGTTTTGATATTTTCGGGCTGAACTCACTTTACCTATCTCGTCTTGCCTCGTTTTATCGTCTCAATCTTCTGACCTGTGCTGAGGAAACCTTGATTGAATTAGCACAGGAGAGAACGGTCAGCACCGTTTCGTCTCACCTCGTCTGCACTGAGCAGTTTCAGCAGCAGCAGCCGCAGCTGCAGCACTCACCTTTAACTTTTTAGATTACTGAATATAAAATATCATTTAAACATCCTCAAATGACGCTGCACTTGTGACGAGTTAGCATCCTCTGCTCCCGGCGCCTATTCGACCATCAACCGATCATATTCCCACCGAAAACACCACCAACAACCAGCGTAAAGATGATGCTCACCGATAGTAATCAGCTTCGCATAGAGGACCTCTATAACAATGACCCGACAGTTTGCCTTGAAGCCGTCAGGTATTTTCATTTTTTGAAAAGTTTAAACCATCAATTTTGCTAATAATCACTTTCACTGCGTAGGCGAATCAAGAACAGCGTCATTGGAAGCAATCGCTTAAAGGGGCTGGTGCTGGAGCAGGGCACCGCCGGGCGGCTGGTCGCCCTGATGAACCTCAACTACGGCGACATTGCTCGCGAGGCGATGATCGTCGTGGCCAGTCTGGCGAAGGGAACTGAACAGCACCTGAAGATGCTCATCGAGGCGGACGCAGTGCCCACCCTTCTCATCAACACTCAATCAGACAACTTCACCTTTGTGGAAGCCAGTCTCCGGTGTCTGCGGACCATCTTTCGCTCTCGACTGGCTCCCGTGGAGCTAATCTACTCAGGGATCAATAGTCTCTCATCGCCATCTTCAACCAACAACTGCACTTCACACACCTCCTCTCACATTCTCCCACTTCTAATGTCACTCGCGAAGAATCCCAAATCGAACTTTGTGATCAAGGAATGTATCGCAAACATTCTCGCTGCCTCTTGTCATGTAAGTAAATTTTTGGTTTTTGTTTTATGCAAAGACGATTCTTAATCCTTTGTTTGTTCCTGATTCCTTTTGATCAACAGACCTCTGAACATCAGAACATCATGAAAGACCTTGGTGCAATCTCATTAATCGCTTCCTTCATCTACGAAACGACGAACCCCTACCAGGTTCGCCTTGCGGCGCTCAACTGGCTGGCACAGCTTTGCCACGACAATGTCGAGGTGTCGGCGCTGGTGGCCTGTGAAACCTACTCTGGCCGGGCACTGCTTGACCTGCTCTTTGAGATGATGAGCCAGAACAACACCTACGAGATGCAGCTCTACTCGGCCAAGTGCATGACCTTCATCTACCGCTCAAATGCCATCTATTCTAGTGATTCTCGGCTGCTCTTTCGCACACTGCCGACGTTGATTATGCTCTGCAAGAAGGACCGCCTTCCCGCCCTTCGCGCCCAGGCCGCCGACGTCCTCGCCACTCTGACGCAGGTGGACGTCGGTCTGCAGCAGCACGCCAGCATTTGTGATCAACTGGTGGCCTCTCTCAGCGACATGCTTCGACAATCCTCCACCTTGGCCGGCAGGGTGAATGCCGGCACTGCTGGTGCCGCCGCCTCCAACAACAACAACAACAGCACTGGCGGCCTGGAGGCAAGTCATCGACAGAAGAGCATCAACAGTATCAGNATCAACAACAACAACAGCACTGGCGGCCTGGAGGCAAGTCATCGACAGAAGAGCATCAACAGTATCAGTGAGATGTCGAGCAGTCATTCGTCGAGCATCGACGAGCCGATGGTCACTGACGGCGACCAGTCAGAGTCCTTCTTTGAATCGCCCAGCTGTACAGACATTCGCGAGGCGGCCTTCAAGGCGTTCGCCTCTCTGGGCGCCAACGACGAGGAGATTCGCAAGAAGATCATCGAGACGGAGTTTCTAATGGACGAGCTGATGGCCGCCCTCGACGAGAAGGACAGTCGCGTCAGTCTGGCGGCGCTGCAGTGTCTGCACAGTCTCTCGCGGTCAGTGCAACAGCTGAAGACGACCTTCCAAGATCACGCCGTGTGGGTACCGCTGCGAGGTCTGCTCGACAACAAGCGCGACGAGGTGCTCAACCTGGCGTCAAGCTGTCTCTGCAACCTCCTCTTAGAGTTCAGTCCTAGCAAGCAGGTCAGTATGGTACGTGGTGGCGGGGTAGTTTAAACGCGTACAAAGTTTCAGCTTTTTATAACTTTTTTCTCTATCATTTGCAGCATTTCCTCGACAGGCAAGCAGTTGAGCTGCTCTGCGATCTGACGCGTCGCGAGGACCCAAACATTCGCCTGAACGGCGTCTGGGCCTTGATGAACATGGCCTACCAGGCTGACCAGGGAGTGAAGAACCAGATACTGAACTGCCTCGGCACCGACCAGATCTTTCGCCTGCTCTCCGACACTGACGTCAACATTCTCATGAAGACGCTCGGACTGCTGCGGAACTTGCTGTCAACTAAAGCGGTAACTATTGCGATTTGTGGTGGACATTAGGGGATGTCTTTGCTAACAAACCTTTTCTTTACCCCTCAGCACGTGGACACGATAATGAACCAGCACGGCAAGCAGATCATGCCCGCCATAATACTCATCCTCGAGGGCGAGCACAGCAGCGAGGTGAAGGAGCAGGCGCTGTGCATTCTGGGGAACATTGCCGACGGCGACTCCGCCAAGGAGTACATCATGTCCAATGAGGACATTCTCAAGAAGCTCACCTCCTACCTGATGAACTCTAATGTGAATCTGCAAACGGCGGCCACCTTTTGCATTAACAATCTGGTGTGGAGCGAAGAGGAGGGCGCCATCACCCGACAGGAGCGCCTCAAGGAGCTGCAGATTCCCAAGATTCTCGGCGGCATGCTGAACACGCCCAATGCCGGACTCTTTGATCGTGTCAAGTTGGCACTGCAGCAGTTTAACGGCAACGGCCTGAATCCCTGAACACGGACTGGACCCGGACTACAAAATAAAACTAGCCATGGTTTTGTGCATAAATCACCACAGCCACTACAAATTGAAACACTACAATCAACAGAAATGAGAACATACACACACTAACTCTACCCATAACACTGTACCATTAATATGTCCGCTTCCCTTCCCTTCTTTTCTTTCCATTACTCTTTTTTCCGTGTTTTGCTTTCCTACTACCGAGTGTATCTAACTACTATTGATGATCATTTCTCTATTTACTTACCAAGCACCACATCGTTGCAAACAGTTGGATTACTGCTTTTCACAATTCAATTAAAAAGTTTCTTATTAAAAGGATAAAAGAAAAGATGCGAGGAACTTGCTCAAGTCAAGTTCAGATTCACATTTGTGTTTATTTTAAAATATAGTTGTAATCTTTTAAAAAAATCATGTTAAAAACTATGTAGGAAGGGGCAACAATGACAACAAGGGTTGACAGTAAGTGGTAAGAATAAATAATACTTCGAAGGATCCATGTTAAGAAGTTAAGAAGAAGAAGTAGAAGTTTAAGAAGGCGAAGGACATCACAGCGAAGGAAGACAAGCATTCGGGCTGCTGTTGCTGCTGCATGGGTGGTGGTGGTGACTAGTGAGATTTTTGTTGAATATATACCACACTTTTTGGTGGAATTGTACTTCGGTAAAGTAGAAAACAGCAGGATGATGATGATGATCAGTAGACACGATAGGTCGCCATGCAGAAGCCCTTCTCCGCGCAGAGGTCCACATCTCGACAGGCCATACAGGGACGGTGGACGTGGCTGCTGCTGCGAGAAGAGGGCGCTTGTCCGGTGGTAGCACCACCACTGCCACCAAAGATGTCTTCGATGTCCTCGATGGTCGTGGAGGTGTTGTGTTGAACAGCGGAGGCTGGATGCTGTCGCATTATATTGGATCGGTAGAAGGAGTTGTTGGTGATGCCGCTGCCACAACAGCTTGTAGCAGTTGTGGTAGGGGAAGACTGCTTGTGCTCCTGCTGACAACAGCGTGAGACTTCAGGTGTGCAGCAGCTGGTGACATCAGCGGCCGACGACTCCAGATCACCGCCATCAGATTGTCCTGCCTCGGCGTCATTGATCAGCTGATCACGAGCGGTACTGCTGGCGCGCTCCTTGCGCAGTTGGGCGTATCGGGTGAAGCGGCGACCGAGAATGGCCGATGTGCGCGCCTTGAAGCTGTCTGGGTTGAGGTGCAGTCGCTGCTGGGCCTCAGCCAGCATTGGGTGGTGGTGGGAGCAGCAGCAAATGATGAGCGTCAGCAAGAGTAGGAGGAGTACCACGAGGGAAGGCACAAGGGTGAACACGAGGAAAGGCACGGAGGGGGAGGAAGTGGTGTTGGGGGAGGCAGTGGAGGTCGGAAGGAGAGGGGAAAGGGTACTGGTGGTGGTCGATGAAAAGGGGTCAATGTTGGGCGTTGAAGACGAGGTGAAGGGATGGTGGTCGTTGTCACTGGCAGTACTTGTGCTAATGGTGGTCGTTGGAGCCATAGTGGTCGTCACTATATCGTCCCCTCCTTCCTCCTCCTCGGGCAAATCTTCGAGCACGAGAAGGCCAAATTGAATGTTTGACTCAATGGACACCACCTCAGAGTGTCCCGTCGTCAGGTTGAATCGATACAGGTCCTGGTCATCGGAAAGGTACAGTGCATCGGTTGATCTGCCTGACATTGCCAGGTTATTCACTGAATGAGGGTCTCCAGGCTGGCTGATGACGTCTCCCTTTGCGGTGCTCCCACTGGCAAAGTAGTAGTCATCGAGGGAGTACAGTCGACCGTTCCGATCGCCCCAAAGCACTCTTAGTCGAGCAGTGTCCAGCGTCAGCGCCTGCAGACCAGCCGAGAGGTCTTCGGTGCAGTGCTTAAAGGCAGTCAGGTTCTGAGCATTGGTGGATGTGGGCACTAAGAAAGCACCGTACTCTAGTCGACAGATTCTCGCCTTGTCCTCCACCCAAAAGAGCACCTGTTCACGCTCATCGAGTGCAATTTCATAAGGATGAAGGGTGGAGACGGTGGCGAGGTGCTCCAGCACAGCCGTGCTATTGTCAACATCCAGCTGAAACACATCAAGTCGACTGTTTTGAAAACGGGACGCAAAGAGCAAGNAGACCAGCCGAGAGGTCTTCGGTGCAGTGCTTAAAGGCAGTCAGGTTCTGAGCATTGGTGGATGTGGGCACTAAGAAAGCACCGTACTCTAGTCGACAGATTCTCGCCTTGTCCTCTACCCAAAAGAGCACCTGCTCACGCTCATCGAGTGCAATTTCATAAGGATGAAGGGTGGAGACGGTGGCGAGGTGCTCCAGCTCAGCCGTGCTATTGTCAACATCCAGCTGAAACACATCAAGTCGACTGTTTTGGAAACGGGACGCAAAGAGCAAGTGTCGGCGACTGTCCACAGCCAACTTCACACGGGCTTCAGCAGTCTCCTCTCCAAAATCGTCGTCCTTGTCATCACCGCCCAATCTGAGCGTCTCATTGTAGGCCACGCCTAGTAGGTTATCACA